CTCCAAAGGGCACTATGGTTTGAAAATATTGGCCAAATTAAGTCAGTGAACTAGGCTTAATTATTCTGGACTTCAATATTCAAAACCATACACTGGTTGTGAGTTAATGGATAATAGATAGATTGATCCACAGCGAAAATAAATTCTAAACGGATCTATAAAATTAAAATCCGTCAGACCACGTTAAATATATATACCTTTTTTAAAAGTTTGAATATTATCATGGAGAAATTGACTTTTGACTGCAATCCACCACTACGCAAATTTTCTGTTTTCTTCAAAGTCATATTTATTTATGGCTATTATGGTGCGTTTTCAGTCATCTTCCAGTTTTACACCCGTGGGTCATCTTTCTTGTGTACAAGATGAAGACGGAGCACCCTATAGCCAGGCTTGCATCCATGAACATGTATGCACGTGCTACTGCTCTTTGTTTAAAATGTAATGTCACTTAAAGTAAACTGATATCAATTCATTTTAAATTTGATAACTGTCAAAACCTTGATATGCTAAGTCTTACAGTGAAATGTTTGATAGATTTATATGTACACTCTGGTTGCTTAAAAGTAGTTGGCAGATTTTAATCTCTTAAAAGCGCTGAAAATAGCAGAACTAAAATTAGAACGCGAACAGGGTTACGTGTATACTAATCTTATCTTTCGTGCAAAATATAGGACGTTTTCAGGTTTTCAGGACCGTCTTCTACTGGAAAAAGTTTGGACTCCAAATAAATATCCCATGAGAAACGGTGCATTCGCTGGTGTGTGTGTGTGTTTGTGCGTGTGCGTGTGTGTGTGTGTGTGTGTTGGGGGGGGGGGGAGGGTAACAAAGGGCACGTGTGTACACCTGCTCTACCCTCTGAGGCACCCTTTACCTCCTTTCTCCGTCCCCAGAAATAGTACGATTGAAACAAGACAGACCCAGCCTACATTTCCATCTCTCTGCTCCATATTTTAGTGTAAAGCGTCCTCATCTACCGTCTTACACAGTATTTGTCGAGTGAAATGGGACAAAATTCTTTAATTCCTGCCCCACCTCCCCCTCAGGAAAAACCTATATCCACCACTGACACCCCCTGACCCGAATGAGTTTATATATAATTCTTACATTATCAATGTTAGTGCGCACGCGTGTATGTGTACTTCGTTTTTATGTCATTTGCATTTGCAATAAATGTTTTGGCATGTGCACTCGTGTGTGAGTGTGAGTGAGTAAGTGAGTGACCTTGTACATGTGCACCTGGATACTTCAAATCTGTCACTGTTTCGAACCTCAGAAACTCCTGACAGGCTCGTCAAATATTTACCTCTATCCTGTACCACTCTTCCCCTCTTTAGTTATTTTTTTCTGGTGCATTAAAAGCGTTGCTGACGACGCAATGAGCCACTTTTCTCTCCCCATAAGGCGAGAGGTTTGGGTGATGCCGCCATTTTGTTTTGGAAAATGGATGACAGACAATGTAGACGATTGAACAATGATATGTGTGTCACCCTGTGTCTTGGTATTATATTTCCTCCATAAGCAGTTTAAAAGGATTAGCACGAATCAATATAAGGAACTATGAGATCGCGTTCTTATCAACCAAAGTGAACTGTATAATACGTACATGTATGATCCGTGAAATTAAATTACTTTATTTCTCAAAGAATTGGAATCAAAATATTCAAAACCAAATTTAAACAAATTAAACAAATGAACTAAATCTCATTTGAACGAGATAAAAGTTATTTAAGAAATATCTAAAAATCTCTAGGATGAACTTTTAAGGTAGCATCTCATCGTGACTACTGTCGATATATATAACGTTTGAAGGATGGGCAAATCAAGGTCTACAAGTTCAATGAAATCATATACATGTACATGTTTACCAAGATTGTCAAAGTTTTACTGGGCTCCTGTATAATATAAAACAGTGTATGAATCTTCACATTTTCAATATTGCTCGTCCCTTGATTTGTCCGTCTCTAAGGCGATTGAGGACGTCTGTGATTTGATCCAATGAATAGAACTCTGTCGGTGGTGGTTTTAACTGAAAAAAAATTGTAAGACATGCTTTTTATAAAGAAATAAATACATTAACCGTAAAAACTACAGGCGTGGTTGTTTCAGTTATAAATATGTCGCCAATGAGTGTGCTATACATAAAACATTCAACCTTATAAATGTAAGGGAAAATTTTGCTACCGGCTCGATAAGTTGGAATTAATTTGATCTTATTCCATATATACTCGGTATAATTGCTACTTCCGTTCTGCACACAACTGTGCCATCACACAGGTGGTTGAACTGCTTTGTGTTCAGTGTCGCAACTATCACAATTAGGCCTACCTTTTTCTCTGCCACCAGCTTCAAGACGTCCTCCAAATGCTGCGGTGTCCCAACTAGCACACCCTTTACACATTTGCTGTTTAAAGTGTGAGTTGGAAGGTCCAGGGTCATTTTCCCGCCAAACAGCCCGACTGTCACTTGGATACCTCCCTGCGGGAAAAAATAATCACTACAGCAGAGACATTTAACTCACCAGACAGAGTTCTGTGCTTCTCTCCACCAGACGCCAGCTAAGTGCTGACGTCAATTGTATGCGAGAATTCTAGCTGGACAACGGACAGATAAAAAAAGAAAACCAGAGAAACATGTAATTTATGAATATCTAATGAAAAACCAATCAGTTGTAGAGGGTGCTGTAGGCCTGTACTTACTGCAGCCTGTAGCTCGTACGCCCTCCTCGAAGTATCTTCTGTACCAACGAGATCTATGACAGCGTCGAAACCGATCTTCCCTACGCCGCTGATCTCTCTTGTATGTGCAAGAAGCGCCTCCTCATTGGCTAAAATTTCCAGAGAAATAACAAAAGGTTTGTGAAGATAAACGTATTAAAAGTTTACACGTGAGCAATGAAAGTAATTCAGTCCGTAGCCTGGGGGGGGGGGATTCGAAAGAACCGCCCCTTTTGCTGGGAAAAGGTACACTCTAGGTAAAATTTGATCTAGATGCATAAATTGTTTATGGGAAAAAGTCCATTTTTCAGAAAAAGAACCCCCCTTTTGAAACTGCTGGCTACGGGCCTGTAATTGAAGACAGTCTATCATCCAGGACCCAGTTTCATTAATACTGGGTAGCACTTTCCTATGGATAATACTATCCATTGGATAACATTGTTTTCCTCTGGACAGATATCTTGTAGGTTAAGTAATGTTTTTCAAACAATAGATATTAATTTTTCTCTGACATTGCTATGCAGTGGTTAAAAACGGCTGCTATCCTCAGGAAAATGACCCATAGGATAGCAAATTTGCACACTGTACACAGTCATCTTACCGCCTTTCGTCCATAAGATCGTACCGTCGGCATTGGCATCTTGAGCCAACTTCAGTTTCTCTTCCTATCGGTCAATGAAAGGGATGTCTTTTAGAGTTTTATCATATGATGCATATATTAAAAAGACTCGAAAAGACTTACATTTTCATGTTTTGTATTAAAAAACGATAGATGGGACGATAGATTATAAAGATATGCATATATATACCCTGTAAAGGTCAAAGTTTTTTTTTTTTTTTTTTTGTAGATTTTTCATGGCCATAAAAGCAAATGGGCTGCATCCACTAAACATTGCAATTAATAAATTCCAATTCGTAACGTTGAACTCAAATAAAGCAAAATCAGTGAAAGACTTCGAAAGGCTTCGAAAATCACTCATCCTTACCGTGATATCGGCCGAGAACACACTGCCCTCTGGCGGCAGAATGTGTTTGGCAAATTGTATGCACCATAATCCCAAACCACCGGCTCCGATAACCAGCAGATTTGCCTTGCCTAACACAGGATGTGGAAATATGCTCATCATATCTTTAACCATTGTCAATTATCTGTGATATCTTTACAGTAGACTAATAATTGTTTATTGATTACACATGTATTTCTATATACACGTACATATGCAACTCGATACCATTCAACAGTGTACATGTATACATACAACAGCTCAAGACCACATTGGTTATAAGTCCAAGGGTCCTTCATATGTAATCTTATGATTTTATACACTGGCCCATAGGGAAGAGGTGTTCGGGCACTTTGAAAGAACCACTTTTTTGTCTGAAAAAACATAGTCTTACCCTTCAAACCAACCATGTCCTGCAGAGTATCCCGTGTGTTCAACACAGCGTTGTATGTAGTAATTCCACTACAGGGGAGCATACAGGCGACCTCAGGGGACAGACCCCGGGGAATTCTAAGCACCGTCCTCTCAACGATAGGAACCACCACGTGGGTGGCAAATCTGGAAGAGTTGGACAAAGAAGTGGACAGAAATATGTGTGGATAAATAATTGTGGTAGTAGATAGACAGACAGAGAGGAGAATGCTTTTGTGGTTTGAAAGCTTTGTGAAAAGTACTTTTCATAAAATAATAATGATAATAATGATCTTTATTATTTTAGCACATTTTTAGAAAGGCTATGAACAAATAAATTCATTTAACTAGCGTAGTGAAACAGGTAAATGTAACGTGTATATACCTACTGCTACTTTTTGCATTGAGTCAATACCTATATGATGTCCCACAATACTTTTTACTACTTACTAAAAAAAAAAAAACAACCAAAAATAAAGCACCATCATTCGTAATTTGAAATTATGAGTAATTTGTTTCAAAATATCGAAAATCAATCATCTTGCACCCCATTTCCATAGATTTTTAGATCAATCTATCCCTGTGGGGAGTCTCACTAGATTACTGTCAGCTTGGCCGGTTTAAGCGTCTGTCCCGCCTACTAAAAGCTGTAAGGGGGTAATCAACTATGGTGCCCGCTCGGCTGACTGCAATTTAGCGTGAACCCCCAGGGAGTTAGGTCGATCTAAATCTTAATCTCTAGATCGATCTTAATCTCTGGGAAAGCACCCTTACCCTCCGTGCTGCCTAAATCCAAGCATTTGTCTAATGTCGCGACAGAGATTAGAACGCCAGCCGACGCACAGGGCGCATTCTAAGCATGCCAGCCAGGGATAGACCACTACATTGTCTCCGACATTCAACTCTGTCCCTGAAATAGAGACGCTTCTGTTCTAAATAGGTGCATGCATTGTCCATTGATTTCCATTCACTTCGACCTTCATATAATAAAATTCATAGCGTCCAATTTTAACATTCTAAATGCAAGTCACACTTGATCTGAAACACACACACACACACACACACACACACACACACACATCATAAAAAAATGTTAATTTACAATTGCAAAATAAATTTAATTTAACAAAAAAGGAATGTCCAAATTTTTATATTTACCTGCATCGTCACCGAGGGCTTCTACGACTCCGGCAATTTCGTGGCCTATCAAACAGGAGTTTTATTTCAATAAATATAATAACATGTGCATACTGTTCAATGAGCTAAAATGGGATACACTACAAATTACAATTATATTAAAAGTTAGTTATATACGTCATATAATTATAACACAAATATTATGCAAATGAAAAATGCTATATATACATCAATGACCAAAAGAGACAGATACTTCGAAATAAATGAAGTTACCTTTTTTGCATATCTGACTATACTAGTAACTGCCATGACATTTGCAATTCGTTGGTTTAGAAGTCCTTCCAATGCCTTAATGCTTTCTGCTTTAACTTCAAATTATTGAAGTCTTAGTGAAATTCCTACATGAACGCACATATTTACCCTCTGGTCATTAACTCTGGCCTTATGTTTGTGCTTTAATCGTATGCAGCGGCGCGTTCTGTGACACTCATGGATATCTGTTGACCAAGACATGGGTTCACATGATGTGAACAAATGCAATTTTGCAGACACTGACTACTCAACGCTATACCATGGAAATTCATAAACAGAAAGTTAGATTTTTTTATTTGGTGAAAGATTTGGATTAAATTCACATACGTTACAATATATTCCCTGGATGACTGTATTTCCCTGCAAGCGTGTGCGGGTTTCATATAATAGCCCAATTTCTTTGGAATTGAAATCGAGTCTCCAGTAAGATGTTTTAGGGATCTTTTGTGATATAGTTTAAGATGTGAAAATTTTCATTCGTCAAAATTTGGGCCTTTTCTTGCAAAGTGAACGGTTCTCTAACGCAACCTGTGCCTATTCTGTGTATATTGAGAGAGAGAGAGAGAGAGAGAGAGAGGGGAGGGGGAGAAGTGATCGCGCGACCTTGAGTGAGTCTTTCCTACCTGGTGCTAACTCCTTCAGGCCAGGCACATTATCAAAACCCTCCCAAAAGTGAATGTCTGAGTGACACACGCCAGAGTACGTGATCTGCAAGTCAAATATTACGACAATAGTTTAAAATTCTGTCGCCTTCGTTTACGGGTGTCCTAACCCACTACAGCTATAGGCCTACTATTGTATACATGTTAACATGTACAGACTCACTCACTCACACACACACACACACACACACACATACACACACACACACACACACACACGAGCATACGTGCGAACACATTATTGCAAATGCAAATGGCTCAAACGCACATTACACGTACATGCTAAAACTGTTAATGTAGGAAATATGTATAAACTCATTGGCTTAAAACGGAAAACTCCCGGCCCGTGAATAAATAAAAAAAGGGGGCGAACCGAAGATAAGGACTGGTCGTAGAGAAGCACAAGCCTACGCATAGCCTACATGTACAACCCCAATATCAAAACTTCATGATGTTTTAAACCTTTTCACAAAACTGCCTTGACTTTTAAAATCCATTTACCTTAACAACTGCTCCTTTGGAAGGGGGAGTAGGAATAGCATAGTCGGTGAGTCTCAAGGGCTTTGAGGCTTCGTAAACTACTGCTCGTTTCATATTTGGACAGCGTTTTCAAACTCGTCCTCTGGGATGTGTCCTCTGAGTATATCGGCCAATGCTGTCACATTCGGTTCCTTATCTGAAAACTTTCGGATGTCTCGAGATTTTAACCCTCGAAAATTTGGGCGTCTACGGTGAACTCTATGCTATAAGTTCATGACCTGATTTTACATTTGTTTAAGGATGTCGGGGGGGGGGGGGGGGTCACTCTGGAGGGATGCCATGGAATGGAAATATTGATCAAAATGAGTAATTGAAATAGATTTACAAATACTGGACTTCAATATCCAGAACCATACCATGTCAGTACAAGTGAATAAGCGCTGGTTGTGAGTCAATTAATAAACTGACCTATATGTTCAGTAGGCTAACATCACGACATACTGCCTATCCGTAAGGCGACATAAAAATAAGATTAAAACAATGATAATAAAATTTTTATAAAAGTTGGGTATTATCACGGGGAAGTGGGCCCTTGGTTGCAAGCCACCGCTACGCAAATTTTCGGTTTTCTCCAAAGTAATATGGTTAATATGGCACATTTTCAGTTATCTCCCAGTGTTGCGCCCGTGGATGGTCGTCCCTTTGTACAAGATGAAGGCGGAACACCCTACCCAAGCTGCCATCCATGCAAGTATGCGCTACTGCTCTTTGCTTATAATGTTAAGTCCTGTCACTTAAAATAAACTGATATCAATTCATTTTAAATTTGATACCTGTCAAAACCTTGATATGCTTCGTCTTACAGTGAAATGTTTGGTAGACCTATATGTATACTCTGGTTGTTTAAAAAATAGTCGGCAGAGATTAAGCGCTGAAAACAGCAGAACTAAAATTAGAACGCAAACAGGGTTACGTGTATGTTGATCTTATCTTTGTGCAAAATATAGGACGTTTTCAGGACTGTCTTCTACTTGAAGAAACTTTGAACCCCAAAAGAATATTTAATGGCCTCATACTTGTACCCCATGAGAAACGGCGTATTCGCCGGTGTGTGTGTGTGTGTGTGTTTTTAGAGGGGGAGGGACAGAGGACACCCTTCCCTCTGAAGTACCCTTTATATCCTTTCTCCGTCCCCAGTACAACGATTGAAACAAGGCAAAACCAGCCACCATTGTCATCTCTCTGCTCTGCTCACGTTATTGTAAACCACACTTCGCTTCCATTTTCATGCAATTCAGCGAACGAAGAAGCAGCAGCATCCGTGAAATGCGTTAAAGAATTCAGCAACACGAGCTGTTGATATCACCATTAAAACGTTATTATTTTTTAACCATCATACTGGTCGCTACACAAAAGAAGAAGAAGCAGCCGCACACAAAGCAGGTGGAGTTTTTGTCTAATGCCTCTCTTAATGTTTTTTGCAGCTCTCTTGTGACGAAGTACATGTATGAGGCAATTAATTTTCAAAATCCTGGTAGTTATTGTGCAACATGTCACTGTGGGCGATGAGATCGTTCCGGAATCCACAGTTGAAGCTGACAGAGGGTGCTGAGAAGTCAAAAACCAGAATTGTAGCAGTAAGAGCTGTCGTTTGGTTTCAGACAAAAACTGCAGCGGATTAGACAAAGAAAAAACTTGTTTCATGGAAAAGTAACAAGCCATTTATTACCGGAAAGGCTTTTCAACTGGTTTTTTGTATACCGTTCTGACTGCTTATTACTTCCATCAATGTCGTGATAGGACTTGGTCTTGCGGTTGCTTTTCATCATTATTTTCCTCATTATTTTGAATCTTTGACATGCAGCAGAAGAAACTTTAATGGGGATTCTAGGATAACGACTCTAGTTAGCCGCAGACGTGTGTATGCGTGGCCTCGTCGTGATTACGTGAATAGCAACCAGCACTTTCAACTCGAAGTTAGTTATTCGGTAAACAATTAAGACTTGGTATACTTCCAATAAATAGCTGAAAAAATTCTCCTCAAAGTATAGAGAGGGTTCCCAAGAAGCCCGGACCACACCATCGCACGTTGAAGACAGACAGTTGTTCTGGAAGTCAGGTAATTTAGGCACAAACAGATATACTTCTACAATGTTAACTTTTTATGTAGAATTTGTTTAGTCTATTATCATCTTTTTAGCTTTTGAATTACCTGATTAATTTTGGGTCATACCAACAATTTCAATATTGACAAAACAGAGTTAATAGACGTTATACCTTCTTTGAAAAATGGTCATGTATAAGAATAGTGATTTTGCGCCTGAATCCGGTTTAAAGGGAGGGGTGAGCTGAAGTCAACACAATTGAATCAGTGAATTGTGCACGGTCCTGTTTCTAGAATTTTATGATTGTATTTTAATGTGTTGAACTGACGGGCTCAACTTTAATTTCTGGATATAAACGTAATCAAAAGACACATTGATTNTTGGCTTAATTATTCTGGACTTCAATATTCAAAACCATACACTGGTTGTGAGTAAATGGATAAAAGATAAAATGATCCACAGCGAAAATAAATTCTAAACGGATCTATAAAATTAAAATCCGTCAGACCACGTTAAATATATATACCTTTTTTAAAAGTTTGAATATTATCATGGAGAAATTGACTTTTGACTGCAATCCACCACTACGCAAATTTTCTGTTTTCTTCAAAGTCATATTTATTTATGGCTATTATGGTGCGTTTTCAGTCATCTTCCAGTTTTACACCCGCGGGTCATCTTTCTTGTGTACAAGATGAAGACGGAGCACCCTATAGCCAAGCTTGCATCCATGTATGCATGTGATACTGCTCTTTGTTTAAAATGTAATGTCACTTAAAGTAAACTGATAGCAATTCATTTTAAATTTGATAACTGTCAAAACCTTGATATGGTAAGTCTTACAGTGAAATGTTTGATAGACCTATATGTACAGTCTGGTTGCTTAAAAGTAGTTGGCAGAATTTAATCTCTTAAAAGCGCTGAAAATAGCAGAACTAAAATTAGAACGCGAACAGGGTTACGTGTATACTGATCTTATCTTTCGTGCAAAATATAGGACGTTCTCAGGTTTTCAGGACCGTCTTCTACTGGAAAAATTTTGGACTCCAAATAAATATCCCATGAGAAACGGTGCATTCGCTGGTGTGTGTGTGTGTGTGTGTGTGTGTGTGTGTGTGTGTGTGTGTTGGGGGGGGGGGGGTAACAAAGGGCACGTGTGTACACCTGCTCTACCCTCTGAGGCACCCTTTAACTCCTCCGTCCCCAGAAATAGTACGATTGAAACAAGACAGACCCAGCCTACATTTCCATCTCTCTGCTCCATATTTTAGTGTAAAGCGTCCTCATCTACCGTCGAGTGAAATGGGACAAAATTCTTTAATTCCTGCCCCACCACCCCCTCAGGAAAAACCTATATCCACCACTGACACCCCCTGACCCGAATGAGTTTATATATAATTCTTACATTATCAATGTTAGTGCGCACGTGTGTATGTGTACTGCGTTTTTATGTCATTTGCATTTGCAATAAATGTTTTGGCATGTGCACTCGTGTGTGAGTGTGAGTGAGTAAGTGAGTGACCTTGTACATATGCACCTGGATACTTCAAATCTGTCACTGTTTCGAACCTCAGAAACTCCTGACAGGCTCGTCAAATATTTACCTCTATCCTGTACCACTCTTCCCCTCTTTAGTTATTTTTTTCTGGTGCATTAAAAGCGTTGCTGACGACGCAATGAGCCACTTTTCTCTCCCCATAAGGCGAGAGGTTTGGGTGATGCCGCCATTTTGTTTTGGAAAATGGATGACAGACAATGTAGACGATTGAACAATGATATGTGTGTCACCCTGTGTCTTGGTATTATATTTCCTCCATAAGCAGTTTAAAAGGATTAGCACGAATCAATATAAGGAACTATGAGATCGCGTTCTTATCAACCAAAGTGAACTGTATAATACGTACATGTATGATCCGTGAAATTAAATTACTTTATTTCCCAAAGAATTGGAATCAAAATATTCAAAATCAAAGTTAAACAAATTAAACAAATGAACTAAATCTCATTTGAACGAGATAAAAGTTATTTAAGAAATATCTAAAAATCTCTAGGATGAACTTTTAAGGTAGCACCTCCTCGTGACTACTGTCGATATATATAACGTTTGAAGGATGGGCAAATCAAGGTCTACAAGTTCAATGAAATCATATACATGTACATGTTTACCAAGATTGTCAAAGTTTTACTGGGCTCCTCCTGTATAATATTATACAGTGTATGAATCTTCACATTTTCAATATTGCTCGTCCCTTGATTTGTCCGTCTCTAAGGCGATTGAGGACGTCTGTGATTTGATCCAATGAATAGAACTCTGTCGGTGGTGGTTTTAACTGAAAAAAAAATGTAAGACATGCTTTTTATAAAGAAATAAATACATTAACCGTAAAAACTACAGGCGTGGTTGTTTCAGTTATAAATATGTCGCCAATGAGTGTGCTATACGTAAAACATTCAACCTTATAAATGTAAGGGAAAATTTTGCTACCGGCTCGATAAGTTGGAATTAATTTGATCTTATTCCATATATACTCGGTATAATTGCTACTTCCGTTCTGCACACAACTGTGCCATCACACAGGTGGTTGAACTGCTTTGTGTTCAGTGTCGCAACTATCACAATTAGGCCTACCTTTTTCTCTGCCACCAGCTTCAAGACGTCCTCCAAATGCTGCGGTGTCCCAACTAGCACACCCTTTACACATTTGCTGTTTAAAGTGTGAGTTGGAAGGTCCAGTGTCATTTTCCCGCCAAACAGCCCGACTGTCACTTGGATACCTCCCTGCGGGGAAAAAATAATCACTACAGCAGAGACATTTAACTCACCAGACAAAGTTCTGGGCTCATCTCCATCAGACGCCAGCTAAGTGCTGACGTCAATTGTATGCGAGAATTCTAGCTGGACAAAGGACAGATAAAAAAGAATAGCCAGAGAAACATGTTATTTATGAATATCTAATGAAAAACCAATCAGTTGTAGAGGGTACTGTAGCTCTGTACTTACTGCAGCCTGTAGGCCGTACGCCCTCCTGGAAGTATCTTCTGAACCAACGAGATCTATAACAGCGTCGAAACCGATCTTCCCAACGCCGCTGATCTCTCTTGTATGTGCAAGAAGCGCCTCCTCATTGGCTAAAATTTCCAGAGAAATAACAAAAGGTTTGTGAAGATAAACGTATTAAAAGTTTACACGTGAGCAATGAAAGTAATTCAGTCCGTAGCCTGGGGGGAGGGGATTCGAAAGAACCGCCCCTTTTGCTGGGAAAAGGTCTACTCTGGGTAAAATTTTATCTAGATGCATAAATTGTTTATGGGAAAAAGTCCATATTTCAGAAAAAGAACCCCCCTTTTGAAATTGCTGGCTACGCGCCTGTAATTGAAGACAGTTTATCATCCAGGACCCAGTTTCATTAACACTGGGTAGCACTTTCCTATGGATAATACTATCCATTGGATAACATTGTTTCTCTCTGGACAGATATCATGTAGGTAAAGTAATGTTTTTCAAACAATAGATATTAATTTTCTCTGACATTGCTATGCAGTGGTTAAAAACGGCTGCTGTCCTCAGGAAAATGACCCAGAGGATAGCAAATTTGCACACTGTACACAGTCATCTTACCGCCTTTCGTCCATAAGATCGTACCGTCGGCATTGGCATCTTGAGCCAACTTCAGTTTCTCTTCCTGTCGGTCAATGAAAGGGATGTCTTTTATAGTTTTATCATATGATGCATATATCAAAATGACTCGAAAAGACTTACATTTTCATGTTTTGTATTAAAAAACGATAGATGGGACGATAGGTTATAAAGATATGCATATATAGGCCTATATACCCTGTAAAGGTCAAAGTTTTTTTTTTTTTTGTAGATTTTTCATGGCCATAAAAGCAAATGGACTGCATCCACTAAACATTGCAATTAATAAATTCCAATTCGTAACGTTGAACTCAAATAAAGCAAAATCAGTGAAAGACTTCGAAAAGCTTCGAAAATCGCTCATCCTTACCGTGATATCGGCCGAGAACACACTGACCTCTGGCGGCAGAATGTGTTTAGCAAATTGTATGCACCATAATCCCAAACCACCGGCTCCGATAACCAGCAGATTTGCCTTGCCTATCACAGGATGTGGAAATATGCTCATCAAATCTTTAACCATTGTCAATTATCTGTGATATCTTTACAGTAGACTAATAATTGTTTATTGATTATACATGTATTTCTATATACACGTACATATGCAACTCGATACCATTCAACAGTGTACATGCATACATGCAACAGCTCAAGACCACATTGGTTATAAGTCCAAGGGTCCTGCATATGTAATCTTATGATTTTATACACTGGCCCATAGGGAGGAGGTGTTCGGGCACTTTGAAAGAACCACTTTTTTGTCTGAAAAAACATAGTCTTACCCTTCAAACCAACCATGTCCTGCAGAGTATCCCGTGTGTTCAACACAGCGTTGTACGTAGTAATTCCACTACAGGGGAGCATACAGGCGACCTCAGGGGACAGACCCCGGGGAATCCTCAGCACCGTCCTCTCAACGATAGGAACCACCACGTGGGTAGCAAATCTGGAAGAGATGGACAAAGAAGTGGACAGAGATATGTGTGGATAAATGATTGTGGTAGATAGACAGACAGAGAGGAGAATGCTTTTGCGATTTGAAAGCTTTGTGAAAAGTACTTTTCATAAAATAATAATGATAATAATAATCTTTATTATTTAAGCACATTTTTAGAAAGGCTATGAAGAAATAAATTCATTTAACTAGCGTAGTGAAACAGGTAAATGTAACGTGTATATACCTACTGCTACTTTTTGCATTGAGTCAATACCTATATGATGTCCCACAATACTTTTTACTACTTACTAAAAAAAAAAAAAAAAACAACCAAAAATAAAGCACCATCATTCGTAATTTGAAATTATGAGTAACTTGTTTCAAAATATCGAAAATCAATCATCTTGCACCCCATTTCCATAGATTTTTAGATCAATCTATCCCTGTGGGGAGTCTCACTAGATTACTGTCAGCTTGGCCGGTTTAAGCGTCTGTCCCGCCTACTAAAAGCTGTAAGGAGGTAATCAACTATGGTGCCCGCTCGGCTGACTGCAATTTAGCGTGAACCCCCAGGGAGTTAGGTCGATCTTAATCTCTGGGAAAGCACCCTTACCCTCCGTGCTGCCTAAATCCAAGCATTTGTCTAATGTCGCGACAGAGATTAGAACGCCAGCCGACGCACAGGGCGCATTCTAAGCATGCCAGCCAGGGATAGACCACTACATTGTCTCCGACATTCAACTCTGTCCCTGAAATAGAGACGCTTCTGTTCTAAATAGGTGCATGCATTGTCCATTGATTTCCATTCACTTCGACCTTCATATAATAAAATTCATAGCGTCCAATTTTAACATTCTAAATGCAAGTCACACTTGATCTGAAACACACACACACACACACACACACACACACACATCATAAAAATGTTAATTTACAATTGCAAAATAAATTTAATTTGACAAAAAAGGAATGTCCAAATTTCTATATTTACCTGCATCGTCACCTAGGGCTTCTACGACTCCGGCAATTTCGTGGCCTATCAAACAGGAGTTTTATTTCAATAAATATAATAACATGTGCATACTGTTCAATGAGCTAAAATGGGGTAAACTACAAAATACAATTATATTAAAAGTTAATTATATACGTCATATAATTATAACACAAATATTATGCAAATGAAAAATGCTACATATACATCAATGACCAAAAGAGACAGATACTTCGAAATAAGTGAAGTTACCTTTTTTGCATATCTGAATATACTAGTAACTGCCATGACATTTGCAATTCGTTGGTTTAGAAGTCCTTCCAATGCCTTAATGCTTTCTGCTTTAACTTCAAATTATTGAAGTCTTAGTGAAATTCATACATGAACGCACATATTTACCCTCTGGTCATTAACTCTGGTCTTATGTTTGTGCTTTAATCGTATGCAGTGGCGCGTTCTGTAACACTCATGGATATCTGTTGACCAAGACATGGGTTCACATGATGTAAACAAATGCTATTTTGCAGGCACTGACTACTCAACGTATACAGAAAGTTAGATGTTTTTCTTTTTAATTTTGGTGAAAGACTTGGATACATGTAGATGTATTCAGTGATGGTGCCCTAGGAAGCAATAAACTAAGGAGGTAATCTCTTACATTTTTTAAAAGAATTAAACGTGGCTGCAGGCAGGGAGACCCAATACTCCCCTATTTATTTATTCTGTGTGCAAAAATACTATCCCTAACGACAAATAGTTATCTTTTTAAAGAAAAAATATTTATAATTGATGTGCACCAATGTAGCCTTTGTGATATATGTTACCTAATTAATTAATCAATTTATTTGTTTATTTACTTGTATTTAAGTGCGATACGAATTAAGTGTAATTTTTTGGGAAGTCCCGATTATCAGTTAACGTGTTAAATTAATGTGTTTAGTGTGACTAATGTATGCTTGAATGCTAGTTTGTGATGTCAATGAAAAAAGACACTCTCTCTCAAGGTCATCTTCCCTGGCCCCTCCCCCTTAAATTCACATACGTTACAATTTATTCCCTGGATGGCTGTATTTCCCTGCAAGTGTGTGCGGGTTTCATATAATAGCCAGATTTCTTTGGAATTGAAATCGGGTCTCCAGTATGCTGTTTTGGGGATCTTTTGCGATATAGTTGAAGATATGATGAAGATTTTAATTTGTCAAATATTGGACCTTTTCTTGCAAAGTGGGCGGTTCTATAAAAACAACCTGTGTGTATTCGGTGAGAGAGAGAGAGGGAGAGAGAGAGAGAGAGGCAAGTGATTGCGCGACCTTGAGTGAGTCTTTCCTACCTGGTGCTAACTCCTTCAGGCCAGGTAGATTATCAAAACCCTCCCAAAAGTGGATGTCTGAGTGACACACGCCAGAGTACGTGATCTGCAAGTCAAATAGTACGACAATAGTGGAGTATACGCGGTGATTTTTTTAAAAATTCTGTCGCCTTCGTTTACTGTTGTCCTAACCCACTATAGCTATAGGCCTACTATAGTATACATGTGTACATGTACAAGCTCACTCACTCACACACACAAACACACACACACGAGCACACGTGCGAACATATTACTGCAAATGCAAATGACTCAAAAACACATTACAGGTACATGTACACATGTACACTTACACTGTTAATGTACGAAATATGTATAAACTCATTCGCTTAAAACGGGTAATTCTCGGCCCGTGAATAAATAAAAAAGGGGGGGGCGAACAGAAGATAAGGTCTGGTCGTAAAGAAGCACAGGCATACGCAAAGGCTACATGTACTATCCCAACATTAAAACTTAATGATGTTTTAAACCTTTTCACAAAACTGCCTTGACTTTTAAAATCCATTTACCTTAACAACTGCTCCGTTGGAAGGGGGAGTAGGAATAGCATAGTCGGTGAGCCTCAAGGGTTTTGAGCTTTCGAAAACGACTGCTCTTTTCATATTTGAACGGCGTTTACAAACTCGTCTTTTGGGATATGTCCTCTGAGTATATCGGCCAGTGCTGTTACATTCGGTTCCTTATCTGAAAACTTTCGGATGTCTCGAGATTTTAACCCTCGAAAATTTGGGCGTCTACGGTGAACTCTATGCTATAAGTTCATGACCTGATTTTACATTTGTTTAAGAATGTCAGGGCGGGGGGGAGGGGGGGGAGAGAGGGGGGGTCACTCTGAAGGGATACCATGGAATGGAAATATTGACCAAAATGAGTAATTAAAATAGATTAAAAAATGCTGGACTTCAGTATCCAAAACCATACCATGTCAGTACAAGTTAAATAGGCGGCGGTTGTGTTTCAATTATTAAGTTGGCCTATACATGTATATTCGGTAGTCTAAAATCACGACATACTCCCAATTCTTAAAATAAAATTAAAACAATGATAATAAATAATAAAATAAAAAATAAAATAAAATAAAATAAACGTTTGAGTATTATCATGGAGAAGTGGAAAATTTCGGGTTTCTCCAAAGTAATATGGTTAATATTGTCCATTTTCAGTAATCTCCCAGTGTTGCGCCCGCGGATCTTCGTCCCTTTGTACAAGATGAAGGCGGAACACCCTACCCAAGCTTGCAACCATGCATGTATGCGCTACTGCTCTTTGCTTATAATGTAATGTCCTGGCACTTAAAATAAACTTATATCAATTCATTTTAAATTTGATACCTGCCAAAACCTTGATATGCTTCGTCTTACAGTGAAATGTTTGGTAGACCTTTATGTATATCTGATTGCTTAAAAATAGCCGGCAGAGATTATGCGCTGAAAACAGCAGAACTAAAATTAGAACGCAAACAGGGTTACGTGTATGTTGATCTTATCTTTCGTGCAAAATATAGGACGTTTTTAGGACTGTTTTCTACTTGAAGAAACTTTGAACCCCAAAAGAATATTTAATAGTCTCATATATGTACCTCATAAGTGTGTGTGTGTGTGTGTGTGTGTGTGTGTGTGGAGGGGGAGGGACAGAGGACATCCGTCCCTCTGAAATAGTACAACTTTTCTCCGTCCCCAGAAATAGTACAACGATTGAAACAAGGCAAAAGCAGCCAACATGTTCATCTCTCTGCTCCGTACGTTATTGTAAAGCGTACTTCGCTTCCACTTCCATACAATTCAGCAAACGAAGAAGCAGCAGCATCTTAAAGAATTCAGCAACACGAGCTGTTGATATCACCATTAAAACTGTATTATTTTTTAACCGTCATACTGCACGCTATGCAAACTAAGAAGCAGCAGCCGCACACAAAGAAGGTGGCGTTTTTGTCTAATGTCTCTCTTAATGTTATTTGCAGCTCAATTATGACGAAGTACATGTATGAGGCAATTAAATTTCAAAATTCTGGTTGTTATTGTGCAATATGTGGGTGATGAGATCATTCTGGAATCCACAGTTGAAGCTGACAGAGGGTGCTGAGAAGTCAAAAACCAGAATTAGAGCAGTAAGAGCTGTCGTTTGGTTTCAGACAATAACTGCAGCGGATTAGACAGAAAAAAACTTGTTTCATGGAAAAGTAACAAGCCATTTATTACCGGAAAGGCTTTTCAACTGGTTTTTTGTATACCGTTCTGACTGCTTATTACTTCCATCAATGTCGTGATAGGGCTTGGTCTTGCGGTTGCTTTTCATCATTATTTTCCTCATTATTTTGAATCTTTGACATGCAGCAGAAGAAACTTTAATGGGGATTCTAGGATAACGACTCTAGTTAGCCGCAGACGTGTGTATGCGTGGCCTCGTCGTGATTACGTGAATAGCAGCCAGCACTTTCAACTCGAAGTTAGTTATTCGGTAAACAATTAAGACTTGGTATATATACTTCCAATAAATAGCTGAAAAAATTCTCCTCAAAGTATAGAGAGGGTTCCCAAGAAGCCCGGACCACACCATCGCACGTTGAAGACAGACAGTTGTTCTGGAAGTCAGGTAATTTAGGCACAAACAGATATACTTCTACAATGTTAACTTTTTATGTAGAATTTGTTTTGTCTATTATCATCTTTTTAGCTTTTGAATTACCTGATTAATTTTGGGTCATACCAACAATTTCAATATTGACAAAACAGAGTTAATAGACGTTATACCTTCTTTGAAAAATGGTCATGTACACAAGAATAGTGATTTTGCGCCTGAATCCGGTTTAAAGGGAGGGGTGAGCTGAAGTCAACACAATTGAATCAGTGAATTGTGCACGGTCCTGTTCCTAGAATTTTATGATTGTATTTTAATGTGTTGAACTGACGGGCTCAACTTTAATTTCTGGATATAAACGTAATCAAAAGACTGGCTGCTCAGTACAAACAAAATGGCTGTACCCAAAGCACATCTTTTACTTATGAAATCTTACGAATATTTTATCAGATGTAGTGAAAATAAAATTCACAGCAAGATTATTTTGAAATATTCCAGTAAGCGTTCATTCAGTTCGATCCCCACTGTTTAATGTAAAGCGATACAGAAAACAAGGCGTACACTTTTATTGCCACGAAACTTACGTAAGCGGTTAATTTGAAGCAAAACTAAGTTAAAAATGTGTATCGTTTTGGATCAGGTGTAAAAGACGAGGAGCTAACGACATGAGAATGAAGATATCGCCAACAATGAAGTGCGGTCATCTTGTTCAGCACATATATTTTCTCTGTTTTGTGATTGGCCGACACCACAACCATATTTACGCTAGCAGAGAAAATCTTCACGTTACGTCCATATCAAGTCTAATCATAAATCCCGGTGGAACGGAATCACCCACTGACGGAGACATCACACAAACAGCGAATGCTTTGCACACTGGCTTACCCAAATCTACACCAGACGTGTCTGTCACACTCCAGGAAAACGAGGCTGCGTCGACATCAAACCACTTGAGTAGCATAGCAACGCCTTCCTACCCCACACGACAAGGTTTTTGCGTAAGATATGACAGCTTAATTCGGAACTCTGAAAACATCTTCATCTCGTGCTACTGCGATGTATACTGTGACATCTTTCACGACTGCTGCTCCTCCGTTCACCTGGAGTGCAAGAACACCCCCGAAACACGAAATCGTGGCAGCTCTCAGAGATCGTCCACATCGCCTCCATTGGCCATAGGTCCAAATGACGTTGAATGCCGTTCACAAAGTTCGAAGGAAGTTAAGGCACGTGTGGTGACAATGACCCGTAAGTACTTCTGGATGGTTGTATCCTGCCCAAGCAATTGGCCGAACAATACAATACGCGAGGGGTGCGACAGGCTGTCGAAATCAATATCTAACGCCGATACTCACTTCCCCGTAACCGACCCTGTATCTGAACTAACTTTTCAGAATTCTTTCTGCGCCCGTTGCCACGGTTTAAGCCACTACATACAGTGGCCAACATCTGTCTCGTGTGCAGCAACTAATATAATTAGCTTTGCCTCCAGTTCAAATATGACCGATGTATTTAATGTAGTAAACGAGACATCCGATTGCTTTCTTTATCACCACGAACCTGAGGGAATTATGGGAAGACCTTGTGTCGGCGGCAGATATAACAGACACGTGTTGGGTGCAAATTGGTTTGGCGATGAAGACAACTGTGCGCCCGACTCACCCTACAAGGATCTGTGCAAAGCCTCGAACTACGCCATTACTCGGGTCATACCCGGCAGGAACACCGCCACCTATGCCAAAAACTATTTCTGTTGGCTCTGCTCCTTTGCGGAGGCACCGGGAGTTGTGGACTGTGTTCCTGATGGTGAGTATTTTGTTATCACCATTTTCTAACTATGGGCTGCTTGATGGATTAACCTTATTATGCATTCCTGAATGTCTATTCGTCTATCTAATAACTCAAATTGGTTGATGCTATGGTTTCAATTAAACATTCTGGATTTATAAACAACCTTACAAACTAGACTTAAGACAATCATCCCTCAAATCTTGTAGTTGTATAAGCAATATTTTGCTAAACATCTATTATAAAAACCCTTCCTTGCACATTTCCATTTAGATAATACGGGCACAAGAGGATTTGAACCTTTCGGTTTCTTTGCACTTCTCGATCCAGATGAACAAGATTCAACTGTTTCGTGCCAGCAAATTGATAACTTTGTAAGTAACTTTCCGATTAACTGCTAATCATAGGTGAAAGATTTTCTTGATATAGTATGTTTCGCTTCGTTATGCCAAAAAGACTATAAAAACAAGCGACATATTTTTGTTTGGTGGGGGGGGGGGGGGGGTAGAATCAGTGTGTACATCGTAATGCATGGGGTAGACCTTTCCTAAATGAATCTATGCACTTCTTTCCTTCAGATCACTTGCTCTGGGAAGAGAGGTGGAGACGACTGTCCGACCCCGTTTTCTTATCTTTTCAATGCGGTGTATACTCTTACCATTGCGTTAAGGTTTCCTTCAAGTATTAATCCCGCCCAGGCATTAACCGAATGTGAATCGTTTGCTTTATTTGTTTTAAGCCGTGATAAAGGCACACTGCGCCTTCTTAAATTACAAGAAGGCTACTGGAAAGTTTACAAATATAAGCAGCCCGTATGCTCTTTCTTGAACGTCACATCTCTCTCCGGCGAACAGAGCAAAGAATTCACAAACGGCACCATGATTCAAATCTCCATATCGATAATGCTTGGGAAACATGTCAGATACTACAGTGAAGGATTCCTCATGTTGTTCGAACTTGAAACCCAAATTGAGGCAAGCAAACCCGCCATTGAATACAATGGGACCGAAGTACCTATCTACGTTATCCGAGAAAGACAATTGCAAGAATGTTTCTCCGATTATCCCGATGGAAAAGAAGGAAACCAGACAGCAACAAGCGTCACTACACACTCCCCCAGGGCCAGCTCGGCGACTGGTATCTCTGTAGTGTGTTCGGGGTGGTTTTCTGTCTTTACAGTCGCTATACTGATATTGGCCTTTTGTGGCCATAAATGTGAAGGCCTGCATCGTTTGGCTTAATTTAGTGCGGCACATGGTATATGTGTAATAAAAACAGTTTGTTTAGCTTGGATGCTACAGAATAGTTAGTATAGGACAATAGATGACCGATTTTCCCCAGTGAATTTGGAAAAAATACATGTTTACGGGGGGGAGGGGGGGGGCGAGGGTCGGCCTCGCATCCACGGCCTGTTATTTCTAAAGACCGCCCCCTTCTAATAATCCTGGATCCGCCTCTGGGCATACATTGTCATTCAAATTTTGAGTACAGCCCGTCCATTGATTTGACCGCGTCTAAGACGATTTAGTACGTCTGTGATTTGCTCCAGAGAATAAAACTCTATCGGTGGAGGTTTTAACTGAAAGAAGACACAAAATTTAATGAAAAATTAAACTCACTTAATATGTCAGTTGGTACAGATGTATTATACACAATGCTACTGATACAATTAATCTTAACTTTATTTAAAACCATACCTTTTAATGTAACTGACAAGAAAATGGCAGTCCTGACCAGCATGTCATCAGCGAGTGCAAACTTAAGAAATAACAAGCTGGAAAATTTGATGACACAATCCACATTTTAATGCCAAAAATAAATTGACAGGACTAATTCTAACAAAGGAGTTGTTTTTCTGTTACTATAGATATGTTGCTCATGCAGTAAACCTACCCCACGACATATACGAAATGTATATGATGATATTCCCGAACCTGTGGGAGTAACTACATGTAGTTGCTTTTCGAAAGAGTAATTGTGTCACAACTACCACAATACGGTGTCACAACTACCACAGTACGATGTCGCAACTACCACACCACAATACGGTGTCACAACTACCACAATAACAGTTACAATCACCTTTTTCTCTGCCACCAGCTCTAACACTTCTTCCAGATGCTGGGGTGTCCCAACCCTCAAACCCTTCACACATTTGGTTTCCAAACAGTGCCTTGGCAGTTGCAGAATAAGTTTCCCGACGAACAATCCAACTGTCACTTGAAGACCACCCTGTATTGAAACATAAACATTTTTTCTCTTTAAAAAAAATCAGCCTGAGGAGACAACTTTGAAAAAGAAATTTATGGTTCAGCTACTGCAGGGGGTTTCCAAATTTCCAAACTTCCCAAATCGGTTGGGGGCATTTTTTTCACGTCTCTCACTATATTAATCAACACTCGCGCCACATGTTTGCTGCGTCATTATTAATTATCAAAACTCGGCGCTCCTGCAAAGGGAGTAGAACGAACAAACATAAAAATCACATATGGAGCCCCAAGCACTAGCTTGCCCGGTACCTCAGCTCTTAACATAATGTAAGCTTTTTATTATACTATTAATCTACAAGAAAAATCTTACAAAAGACTAGTGTACTTGAAACTTTAAAAAATGCGAAAAAAAGACAACAATTGAAGAGGTATTCTGTGTAAATAAATATATAGTTATAGACAAATTCAAGCCATCGTACTTCACACATCGCACTAGCAATGTTGGTCCAACTCTGAGTGGGATTGTTGCTAAAACTGCAATCAGTGGAATCAGCTTAATTGTCTAACACGCCTCCTCGAGCAGCTAGGGGGAAATTAACTAGCGTGTGCTGATTAAGCTGATTACATTTTAGCAAAAATCCCTCGCAAAGTTGGACCGAGCCAGCTATTACGACGTGTTAATCAGAATGCGCCCTTACGTACAAAAGTCAGCAGCTCGTACGCCCTTTTCGAAGTGTCATCTGTACCCACAAGATCTATAACAGCGTCGAAACCGATCTTTTCCACGCCGCTGATCTCTCTTGTATGTGCAAGGAGCGCCTCTTCATTGGCTAAATGTAAGAGATAAACACAGTTGATCAACCAACTACATTTGGCAAAATAAAAAATATTGAAACTTTGATCAGTGATCAATGAAAGTAATCGAGGATCTGTTTCTTTCAAAAAAAAAAAAAAAAAAAAATTTAAGGGAAAAAACACTTTACCGCCTAAACTCCACAAGATTGTACCGTCAGCATTGGCATCTTTAGCCAACTTCAGTTTCTCTTCCTGTAAGTGTGAAGATATGATGAAATATATTAAGAATTTTTCATAAAAGACGATAGATGTCAGGGCCGAAGGATGAGAATAATCCTTGGGGCCAAGCTATTGAAGGCCTACAATACATGTAAACAGGTTAAAATTATTTGCAGGGAATGTAATACTCATTAAGACGCTGACTGAAGGCAAAGTAGAAGAACTACTGGTTAAACACCCCCCCTTCATAATGATAAATTGAAAAATAAATAATTATTTAAAACAAATAAGTAGTGTTTAAAATTTATGAAATCACACCATTATCCTCACCGTAATATCGGCCGCGAACACACTGACCTCTGGTGGCAGTATGTGTTTAGCAAATTGTACACACCATAGACCCAAGCCACCGGCTCCAATAACCAGCAGATTTGCCTTGCCTATAACAGTATTTATCCGACATATGGAAATATGCTCTTCAGATGTTTTTTTTCTATTTAATTACTTTTGCAGTTTGACAAACTTCAAAATAAAAACTTTTTAAAATAAAATCTGAACTTTTTAAAATAAGTCATAGGCGCTTCAACCCCCAACACTGGCAGATGCCAAAAATGAGGAATGAATCACGATAAGACACTCTTTGTACGCAACTTTTCAAACCATGAACTACTTTTAGAAACATCCGATTTTATCATAGAATCAGTTAGGTGGGAAAACGGCTATGAAGCTCTGGCAGCTGATTAATATGATTGGAATAAATCTACGCATACATATCTTAACGTTTCATATCTGCTACATGTAATACCTTGGCGTATTTCAGTACAATATTACATATTACATATCATAAATTAAACAAAAAACATAAAACAAGGTTATGGGCAGCATGATAAATTTATTGAAATAATGAAATGAGGGATGGCATGTGTTAACTTTGTGACACCCCCGGGGTGGCTGTTTGTGAAGGAGACGGGGAGGGGAAGGGGGATACTCTTACCCCTCAAACCAACCATGTCGAGCAGAGTATCCCGTGTGTTCAACACAGCGTTGTACGTAGTAATTCCACTACAGGGGAGCATACAGGCGACCTCAGGGGTCAGACCCCGGGGAATCCTCAGCACCGTCCTTTCAACGATAGGAACCACCACGTGGGTGGCAAATCTGGAAAGGTAATCAATGAAGTAATGTTCGTGTGTGTAGATGTGTGCGTGTGTGTGTGTGTGTGTGTGTATGTGTATATGTGTGTGTGTGTGTGTGTGTGTGTGAGAGAGAGAGAGAGAGAGAGAGAGAGAGAGAGAGAGAGAGAGAGAGAGAGAGAGAGAGAAATGAGCGGGTGTGAGAGAATTCAATTCAAAGTC